TCATGGACGTAGGTGGGGAGTTCCTGGACCAAGGGGGAGAAAATGGAGTCGAGATTAGTGGAGATCAGTTCGGTGGGGCAGGAGCAGGCGGAGACAATGGGTCGACCAGGGCAGTCAGGTTTGTAGACAATGGGTTATTCAGCTATTCAGGAGCAAGATTGCAAATTTTCATTGGACAGAGGTAGCAAATGATGAAGAGCAGATGGAAGAGGGGCTGAACATTCTCCTCTGTGGCCAGGGTCACACTATGCAGATGGTAATTTGTAGGAGGAGGTTCGGTATCCCATGTCATGTTTGTTATTCTGCAATGGGTTGAGAAATCTGCCCTGTCCATCTGTGCTGAGACAAAGATGCTCCCTCCCGGGCTCTGGGACCCTGAAGACCCGCCCACCTATTGTCCCCAGAACGCGGCTGCGGCGCATGCGCTTTCTGAAAGCACGCCGCGGCGCATGCGCTTTCTGAAAGCACGCCGCGGCCGGTTCCCATGGTAACGCGACAGTTTGTTGAGAAGGAAAAGCCATGACCATCGTTTAGACTGAAGGAGATCCTCCCTTTCCACCTCCCCCAGAGATATCCGTTGACCTGCTGAGCACTTTCCCGCATCTCCTCCTCGGCTTCCGGCGCTTCTCTCCGGTTCCATTCGCCCCCTTCCCCGCCACCTCCACTTGGCCGACGGACTGAACCGGAAGAGGCGGGACCAGCACGCGAATGAGTGACGGCACCTCAGCCAATGGAGAGCGGGATTCTCCTGGAGGACCCAGGAGTCCTCCAACCTATCAGAGATGCTTCTCCGGCCGGAGCGGGGTAGGACTTCCATTGGTGGTTGGAACCTTGCAGGGATGTTGTTGTTGTTGTTGTCCTTGTGTCTTCGTTGTCCCAGGAGCATCCAGGGCAGAACGTGCAACTGGGATTGGGCTGTGTTTCCACTCACTGGCAAAGATAGAGGCAAGTATGCTCAGCAATAAGTAAGACGTAAATCACTTTTTTAGAATTTGCGGGTTAGCAAAATTGCGACTTGCATCATGGATTTTGACCTTTGCAGTGCAGTGATGGCTAAGTGATGGGGCTAAGCTGCAAGGAATGGCCTGCTGTGTTCATCCAGCCCTGCACCTTGTTGTCAAGGAATGGCCACAACCCTGCTTTCCTTACTGCTGCTGGGTCCCAGATGTTTCAGCAAAGCTGGTGGTGATTGGGATGCTGCGAGCATAGTAAAGAGAGGGTTGTAGAGTGTGGAAGGAGGTCTTAAATTGGGGTGCACAGCAGATTGTCCAAAGGGGTGGGGGCTGAGGCGGGGGCCAGAACATGTGCCCAGGGAGAAGTGAGTTTTCAAAGTAGGCTAGGGTCTCGGGGAAGAAGTCGGAGGGCTGAACCTGCGTGGGTGCTTGGGGTTGGAAGGTCACAAAGAGTGGAAACTCTGGAGGAGTGGTGCGCAGAAACTACAATTGTGAGTTTGAATCCTTTCCTTACAATCCTGATCTTTGCGAACTTCTTTCACTAGGTATCAGCAGGGGACAATCTGGTGCATCGCTCGAATCATCACGGACCTGAAGGTCACCAGCCTTTCACTGTGGAATGAAAACGATTCGTCTCTGCAACAAGATTTTAAACGTCAATGTGACTGGAAAAAACACCAAAGATACACATGCACACAGAAGAGTTTTAACATTCTATGAAAAAGCATCACACCATTCACAGTGGGGAGAGACTGATTGTGGATGAGACTTTAATTGGATTATGGAGAAGCCATGGAAATGTATGGACTGCGGGAAGGGGTTTAATTATCCATCCCAACTGGAATCTCATCGACGCAGTCACACCGGGGAGAGGCCGTTCACCTGCTCCGAGTGTGGGAAAGGGTTCAGTGATTCGTCCAGCCTACAGACGCACCAGCGGGTCCACACCGGAGAGAGACCATTTATCTGCTCCGAGTGCGGGAAGGGATTCACCGATTCATCCAACCTACAGAGGCACCGGCGTATTCACACCGGGGAGAGGCCGTTCACCTGCTCTGAGTGCGGGAAGGGCTTCAGTGATTCATCCAGCCTGCTGACCCACCAGCGGGTCCACACCGGGGAGAGGCCGTTTATCTGCTCCGAGTGCGGGAAAGGATTTGCGCAGTCGGCAAACCTGCTGGCTCACCAGCGGGTTCACACCGGGGAGAGGCCGTTCACCTGCCCGGTGTGCGCGAAGGGCTTCAGTCAGTCCTCCAACCTGCTCACCCACCAGCGACTTCACACCGGGGAGAGTCCCTTCATCTGCTCCATGTGTGGGGATGGATTTGATGACTCGGCCACCCTGCAGACACACTGGCAGGTTCATTACGGGGAGAGGCCGTTTCCCTGCTCCCAGTGCGGGAAGGGATTCACTCATTCCTCCCACCTCCTGAAGCACCAGCGCAGCCACACCGGGGAGAGGCCGTACGTCTGCTCCGAATGCGGCAAGGCCTTCAGCCAGCTGTCCAACCTGCTGACCCACGGGCGCACTCACACCGGGGAGAGACCTTTTGCTTGCTCCGTGTGTGGGAAGGGATTCACTCAGTTATCCAGCCTGCTGACCCACCGGCGCACTCACACCGGGGAGAGGCCGTTCACTTGTGCCGTGTGCGGGAACGGATTCAGCGATTCCTCCACCTTACGCAAACACCGGCTTGTCCACACCGGGGAGAAACCCTTTACCTGCACCCTGTGTGGGAAGGGCTTCACTTCTTCCTCCAACCTGCTGAGGCACCAGAGCGGTCACACCAATTAGTGACCCCCACCCCATGCAGGGCTCTGACTTTGAGTGGCGCCTATTTTTAATGCATAAAACAATCTGAGGAATTGTGAAGAGGAAAGGGTGTTCCGCTGCTTCCACAGCGCAAAGAGGTTTGGATAAGTGCGCCAGCGGGTTCCACAAAGCGTTTCAAGGGTTTAGATTCTGATGTTGCTCACATCCAGGACTGAATCATGTTCATTCTGACTGCTGGGGGTTGGTGTCTGTCGCTGCTGGAGGTTAAAACTGTGGATGCGTTAAATAAAACAACTATATTTTATCACTACTGTGCCAACTCGTTTCTGAATTTAAGGCAGGAGCTCAGTATGACTTTACGAGCACATCTTTAAGGCTGTTATAAAATCTGGTGGGGTCAATGACTTGGTTACTGGAGGCATAGAGCGCAAAGGCCATTCTGGTGAATCTTTGGGAAGCTCTGGTTCAGCATCATTGTGTCCAAATGGCAGATGGTGTTTAATTCAGATGAATGTGAGATATTGCATTTCAACAAAACAAAGGGCTGGACTCATGAAATTAAAAGTAGGGCCTTGGATACTGCTGTAGAACAGAGACTTAGGGGTTCAGGTTCATAATTCTTTGAAGTTTACATCACATGTGGACAGGGTGGTTAAGAAGGCGTTTAGCACGCTTGCCTTCATTGCTCAGACCTTTGAGTATAGGAGTTGAGATGTCACATTGAGGTTGTACAGGACTTTGGAGAGGCCTCTTCTGGAGCACTGTGTGCAGTTGCCCTGTCATAGGAAGGATATTATTAAGCTGGAGAAGGTTCAGAAGAGCTTTACCAGATATTGTCAGGAATGGAGGGTTTGAGTTATGGGGAGAGGATGGATAGGCTGGGACTTTTTTCACTGGAGCGTAGGAGGTTGAGTGGTGACCTTATACAGGATTATAAAATCATAAAGGGTATAGATAAGCTGAATGGCAGGTGTCGTATCCCTATGGTGGGGAATATCATGTTCAGTGGGCATACTTTGTAAGGTGAGAGAGATTTTAAAAAAGACATGAGGGGCAACAGAGTGGATCATGTGTTGAAAGAACCTCCAGAGGAAGTGGTGGGTGTGGGTACAGTTACAACATTTAAAAGACATTTGGATAAGTACATGAATAGGAAAAGTTTGGGGGGATACGGGCCAAAAGCAGGCAGGTGGGACTGGTTTAGTTTGGGATTATGGTCGGCATGGACTGGTGAGACTGAGGGATCTGTTTCCACGCTCTATGACTCAAATGTAGGGAAGGTCTTTTGGAAGGATGTGAGGGCATTAGAAGGTATGTGGCAAAGATTCGAGGGAATAATCTTGGGCACGAGGAAGTTAAGCTATGTGGGCGCTTTGTCTTGGAGAAGAAAGATTGAGACATTTAATAGAGTTATTCAAAATCACAACAGGATGGGACAGAGCAGCTAGGGAGAAACTGTTCCCGTGGGTGGAAGGATTGGGAACTCAAAAGACATCCATCAAGGTGATTAGCAATAGAAGCAAGCAGTCATTTGGTAGTGCAGAACTTGAGATTATTTGCTGAAAAAGACACATTTCTGCGGACAATTTCTACCTCCAGATATAAGGACATTCACACCAATGCAAAGGAGAACAATATTTAATACTGTACAAGAAGATAGTGCTGATTGGTTGGCCAGTGGGCTCTGGTAGAGTAGTTGCTAAGGGGAATACATCGGTTAGATGATGACTGACAGTTAACTGTTAAGGCAATGCCTCTACCAAACACAGTTCACTTGGCAAGCAATTTGGACACACTTCTCATACACTGCATAATGTTTTTTTCCTTTATATTGATCTTCTTGTGAAAATGCTGATGAGTGTAAGATGAAAAGTTTCAACAAAATAGGTCATTTGTTTTTCAGCAGTACACAGAAGCAAAAGCAACACAAGGCAACACTTACTTTATGCAGTGAGTGGTTCAGATCTGGAATGCAGTACCTGACAGAAAGACTCGCCCCATGTCTTTCAGAAGGGAGTTAGGCAATTATTTGTAGAGTAAACATTTGTAGGGCTGTGTGCAAAAGGTGTGAGAGTGAAATTAACCAAGGAAAGACACACTGGTTTTGGAACCAGTCCAAAGAAGGTTCACTAAATTAATCCTGGGTCTAGAGTGACAGTCTTCCGAGGAGAGGTTGGGTGTGTACACTCTGAAGCTTAGTAGAATGACAGGCAACCTTATTGAAACATACAACATTCTTGGAAGACTTGACAGTGGAGATATGGAACGTTTGTCCTTATGGGAGAGTCTAAAACCAGAAGGCATCATCTCAGAACAAGAGGTGGTACATTTAAAACAGAGGTGAGGAGGAATATCTTTTCTTGGAGGGTAGGGAATCTGTAGAGATCTTTATTGCTGAAGGTCGTAGAGGCTGGGTTGTGAAGAATATTCATTGCTGAGATATATGTTTAATGGCAAGGGAATTAATGGTTATAGAAAGAAGGGAGGAAAGTGAAGTTTAGAATGATTAGAAACAAAAATAGAAATTGCTGGAAAAGCTCAGCAGATATGGCAGCAACTGTGGAGAGAAATCACACTCTGTTCTGAGGAAGGGTCACTCAACCCAAAACATTAATTCTGATTTCTCTCCACAGATGCTGCCAGACCTGCTGAGCTTTTCCAGCAATTTCTGTTTTTGTTTCTGATTTACAGCAGTTCTTTTAGTTTTTATTTAGGATGATTATAGCAGGCTTGGTGGACCAAATGGCCCATTCCTCCCACACCTTATTATTAGATTCTAGATTTAGGTTTTATTGTCATATGTACACAAGCACAGGAATACAATGAAAATTGTACAGTGTTGCCACATACGGCACCATCTTAGACACATTAGGTTAAAAAATCTTTTTTTTATTCATTCATAGATGAGGGTGTCGCTGGCAAGGCAGCATTTATTGCCCATCCCTAGTTGCCCAGAGGGCAGTTCAGAGTCAGCCACATTGCTGTGGGTCTGGAGTCACGTCTAGGCCAGACCAGGTAAGGATGGCAGCTTCCTTCCCTAAAGGACATTAGTGAATCAGTTGGGATTTTCCCGACAATGGATTCATGGTCACCATTAGATTCTTAATTCCAGATATTTATTGAATTCAAATTCCACCATCTGCCTTGGCAGGATTTGAACCTGGGTCCCCAGAAGGTTATCTGGGTCTCTGATTAACAGTCCAGCGATAACACCACTAGGCCGTTGTTGCCCCAGAAGTAGAAAAATAAAGTTTAAAAACATAGAACATAGAACATTACAGCGCAGTACAGGCCCTTCGGCCCTCGATGTTGCGCCAACCTGTGAAACCAATCTGAAGCCCATCTAACCTAAACTATTCCATTATCATCCATATGTTTATCCAATGACCATTTAAATGCCCTTAAAGTTGGCGAGTCTACTACTTTTGCAGGCAGGGCATTCCACGCCCTGACTACTCTCTGACATCTGTCCTATATCTATCACCCCTCAATTTAAAGCTATGT